ACTGTGGAAGAGATGCACGAAAGCTAATTGTAACCAATTGACACACTTTCTACAAGATGTAATGTAAGATGATGATTGTTTTGTGTTGTCTGCTTAATAAAAATAAAAAATTCTTGCAAAAAAAAGATTCAAATTTGTTGTTTTAAAGGAGAAAATAGCCATAAGAAATGTTTAAGATATCTTTTCCACCAATATAATCACAATTATTTCTTCTGGAAAAGTTATAAATTAGCAGGAATGAAATATATTTTGATTATAAGTGGTTTTCTTCTTGATTTTTAATTCATGTTAAAAGCTGTGGCTTATTTCCAATGCATTTTCTTCATTGAAAAAGTCTATTGTTGGCAACTTGTTGTGAAGCTATTTCTCAACAAAAGCACATTTTGATAACTTATTCTGTCAAAAACCTGCCTCTGGATCCATTTTTTGCAGCCTTCCATCTATGCTGAAAAACCAGCTTCAGTAGGGGGCCTTCACTTTTCTTGTCTTTATTTATATATCATTAAAACTTGTATTTTTCTGTTTATATCATAATGTATGAATTAAGGTACCTAAAATCTGCTAACTTAATGCATAAAACATCCAGGGCCCACTACTTATGTGGAATTAAAATTTCCACGATGTTCACATCAGTTTTGCTCACAAAATTGTGATTGTTGCAGCATCCCCATGATATCTGATCATGATTTCTAATGCTCCTTGCCACCTTCCCACAAGCAAAGTCAATGGGGAAGCTAACGGGAAGTTGGAAGTTCCTCTCGCTCTTGCTATTGTTTTTGCACGTCTGTGGTCATTTTTCTGTTTATCTGTTTAGGTAAGTAAATATTAACTTTTTATTGAAGTTCATTTGCAACAATTTTCTATTTATGAAATATACTCAGATGACCATGGAACCATTCAGCTTCATGTAAGAAAAATATGGTCAGCCTAAACATTAATATTCATTCTGGTCACATCAGATTACACTACCTTTCTTTTAAAGAATGAGCCAATGGGTCATAGGGTTGACTAGTTCTATAAATAGTTGCAAAGGTGAGGCCAAAAGCAAAGTCTTTCTTACCAATACTCAGAACTTTAATTTCAGATGATTGTGATACGCCCTTTATTGGCATAAATGTAAAGGTAATGCTATATCTTTATGACAATCTTAAACATGAAAATGCCTTCCAGATGAAAACAGCATTAACTGAATATTTTGCTTTTGCAACAGGGTGTGAGTGGAAAAAAATCTATAACATTTATTTTAAAAAGTTAACAGTGGTACTCAGCTGAATTGGTTTTTGCTATTCTGTGGATAAATGAGAAATCTGCTCTGAAAGAAACAGAAAGGGAACTTCTGGTATCAGACTAGCAAATGACAGAATATGTGCAGAATAACACATTACATTCCCTCTGATATGGTTTGGTTCTTTGGCATTTGCATAGATTATGTTTTCATGTCCTGAAAACCAACTGCCAATTTTTATTTAAAACTTTAAATAAACTTTATTTAACTTCACAAATTGAATAAATATAAACATGTTTTATGTCTGTTTGGGGGCTTGTAACGTTCATTGCTTTTGAGAGTATAGTATTCTTTACAATACATAAAGTGTTCCCCCTGGAAGAATGTTTGGCTGCATTTTTATTTATTTACGTTTCTATGCGTCCATCTCCTCTACAAGATAACTCCGGGCGGCATTAATTCTCGGTCCCTCAGGTTTGCGCCTTCTAAATCAAAATAGCCAGTTATATACACTGCAACACAAGGCTCGCTCGTTGACAAAGGTGAAAGGAATCTTAATATGTACCAATAAGGTTAAGGCAGAGACAGTAAAACGAAAGAGAAACTGGGAAAGTGCTAGCAAGGAAATCGCCGTCTCTAAGTACTCCTACCCACCTCCCTTTCGAAACGGGAGACTTTCCCCCCTGCGGAGCACACCCACCAAACGCAGCAAAAAAAAAATCGAGCCCGGAGGAACCTCTCGGCTGACCCAAGCAGAGTGGGAGGAATGCGATTTCTGACCAATCAGCACCGCCTTAGTCTTCGCGTGAGGAAGAGCAAGAGAACCAATGGGGAAGCGGTGGCGCGGCTCCACCGCCGTTCTTCACTTGGCCGAGAAGTTGCCGGTGCAGGAATGGGAATCCGGCCGTGAGCGGCCTTTCGCAGTCGGCGGCGGCTCACCCCTCGCGTCATGCTCATCACGCTGTGCTACTTATACCTGTGGGCGCGCTGGAGGCCTTCTTCCGCTGGGCTCATCCGGCGCACAGTGCGCCGGCTGTACCGAACCAGGTGTTCGTTTACGTTCTGCTCTTCCTCCGGCTGCAGCTCCTGCTCCAGCTTCGGGTGTACTCGCTTCACGTTGCACCAGCAGGTCCCCCACCTTCCGCTTTGCAAACAGGAGGTGCCCGGCCTCTCCGACGAGATCGTTTACCTCAGGGTGGGCGACAAGGTTTTCTTCACTGGCGAGACTCAGGTGTGATATGCAGTGGCAGAGAGCCGGCCAGGGAGGGCTGGGGCTGGGCCTATCGTACGTTGCGTGGAAAGGGAGGTTGTGGGTGTGGATATGCGAGGGTGAGGGAAGTGTTGTTGCTTCACGCCTGCATTTATTAGAGAGGCTGAAAACTTTCACTCGTGGGAATAGCTGTTCCTTGGACAGATCCGAGGTAAGCAGGAGATACCAGATGAAGCTGAATGTGTGGCACTGATACTTTATTAACTGTTCAATGTATGGTTTCAGCTTGCCTGTTTTCTTGCTTTAAAAATTTCCCAAGACAGCTTGCACCTGGATGTACTAGTGTCATAATTTAGGAGCACTTGCTATTAAACAAGTGAAGAGGTATCAGAATTTAAAATGTAACAGTAAGTGCCAATATGTATTTTTAGAGTAATGACCTGGAGTGGCTTTCCTTTAAAATCCTTGGCTATTGAAAACATCAAAAAAATTTACAGATTGCATGATAACAATGTTCTCTATTCCCATTGGTATATGTACCTAATAACTATGTAGTCATAAATATGCTTGTGTACATGTGTGTTTTATGTATCTGTTAGTGTAGAATGTCTATGTTAAATGTGTAATGTGTGAACTTCCCATGATATTTCTGATAGAGTAAAAAGTTAGTCTTCTAACCTGATAAACCAGAAATGT